AATCTTGCAAAAATGTTAGTTCTAATAAAATCTGCAACCACTTTAGAATCATTAATCCGGGTGGCCTTTGCTTCCACCCACTTCGACACATAATCAACCGCAAGCAAAATATATGTAAAACCATACGAAGAAGGAAAAGGACCCATAAAATCAATACCCCAAACATCAAAAATTTCAACATTTAGGATAGAAACCTGCGGCATTTGGTCCTTTGCACTAATACCACCCATTCGTTGGCATTTATCACATGTAAAGCAAAAAGTTTTAGCATCTTTAAAAATACTAGGTGATGCGAGAATTATACGCACACAAATTAAACCCTCTTTTTATCAATTGTAGTATAAGTATAAGTAGGGATCGTTCAAGACCGGGGATTAGGAGGGATTGTTAATCACTTGGATTTCACTCAAAAAAGTAAAAACACAATATAAAACACTCTACTAGACTCAAAGAATGCAAAACTAAACATTAAAACACTAAAACAAACCAAAAGACTCAAAACAGCACCAAAACACTCAAAACTGCCTTAAAAACACTTTCTGGGCAGTTTTGAGCACTTCGAGTACTTTGGACGAATTTGGGTAACAAATTGAATCAAAACACTTATAAACACAAACCAAAACACTTTCTAACTAATTTGAACAATACAAAGACTCAAAGGACTCAAAACAAGTTCAAAAGACTCAAAACTGCCTAAAAACACTAACTAGGCAGTTTCTGACCTTAAACCCAAATTTGGACGAAATTAAGTTGTAACTTGACTCAAGACTCTTAAAAACACAAACTAAATTGATTTCTAACTAATTTGGACATTAAAGTAAGGGGGGATTGAGTTTTGGACGAAATTAACCTAATTGCACAGATTCTAATTAAAAACAGAATGTAAATATGAATGTGATGGATTTGAATGGATGGGATGACTAGCTAAGGGGTTCATCTCCACACATGTTACACTTGCATAATAAAAAGATTTCCAATTGCATTTCAATAAACCATGAATTCTCAACGCCCCAGGTTAATTAGGTCCGCTTAAATTAACCGTCAAGTTTTCCTTAAGTTAATGAATTGGATGATTGCATACGACAACCCAAAGCATTCCTCACAAGTTCCCTACATGAATTGCATAATAGAGATACAAGCAAGAATCATTAAGCAACATGAAAACTATAAGTGTTGACGAGGCATTCGTTACTATGATTGCATGAAACTTATGCCAAGAATATGTTTAACGCGATTGTTTATAAGCAACCTCCACTACTTGTGAATATAAGTTCGTAACTATTAGGTGAAACTCACTTATATTCTAGCGTCATATTCATGCATGAAAATTAAGCGTATACTCTCAATAAACATACATAAATAAGTTATCAATCAAACAGTTAAACAAATTGAATCCACAACTTATGAAACGCAATTAGAAGTAATCAAATCAAAATGCAAGCATAAACATATATTTCGAATCCCCCCCTAGCCAAGGGGGGGTTTAGTTCCTCATACGTACAAAACAAAGAGAATTGAAATTAAGCATTGGAATCGAGGAAAAGAAACACCTAAACATTCCAACAACTCATACTTGAATTGTATGAACGTTTAGGCACTCTTCTCCTCCTCTTCGTTGTAGCACAAGGTCTAAGGATAGGTTTGGAGGGATGGGGAGTTAAGGATGGTGTAGAATGATGTGTTTAGGATAGGGATGGATGTAGGGGACCTCAAGGCTTCTTTTTGGGCAGAAAATATGAAGAATGGTGAAGTATGGATGTGTTATAGAGAGGGGATGAATTTCTAGCGTGAATGGTGAATGAATTGTGTATGAATGGGAATGAGATGAATTGAATGAATGCAATGCATGGTTTTATAGGGAGAGAAGGGATGGGAGAACATGTGAATGGCAGCTAGGAATGATTAAAGAAGGGAATGCATGTGTAATGACAACTAGATTGGTTGGTGGAAATCTGAAAATGGATGGGAGAGGGAACATGACAGCTAGGTAAAGTGAATGTGGCTGCATGTTTGAATGATTAAATGATGCATGTGGGTTGGAAATGCATGTGCAATGATTCTTTGGTGCTGAAAATGCATGTGTAAGCATGTGTTGGCTGAATTAAAGAATGTGAGGGAATGATGAAAGGGGAAACATGACAGCTAGGTTGAATTATGAAGAGTGAATGCATGTGGCTGATTTATGTGAATGATTATGGGTGATTATGATAAGTGATAAGTGGTGATGATAAGTGTATGATATGTGATTATGATAAGTGATAAGTGGTGATGATAAGTAATGATTTATGATAAGTGATAAGTGGTGATGATAAGTAATGATATGTGATTATGATAAGTGATAAGTGGTGATGATAAGTAATGATATGTGGGAGTGTGGCTGAAATGAAGGAGTGGAATGTTGGAATGTTATGCACGGCTAAGGATATAGGAAAGGTTTAAATGTCCTAAAACTAAAGGGAACAAGGTTCCAACACTTTGGTCTTCAATTAGGTCTTCAATTTCGTCCAACACTTTGACTCCAAGCATAGGCTATCCATCCTTAGCCCAAAAGTGCTCCAAAAGTCTCCAAAATGCATCTTTTTGCTCCTTTAGCCCTTTGGACCTACAAACACACGAAAATAGCTTAAAGTACTAAAATAACTAAAGAAACATAACGTAAATGCACGAGAACAAGCCATTTAAGTCGCATGAATATGCTCCTATCAAATACCCCCACACTTAGCTTTTGCTAGTCCTCGAGCAAAACAAAACAAAAGAAACCAAAAACAAAACGACACTGAACAAGAAAAACACAACCTAAACCTTCCAACAATTGTCTCAGGGATTTCCAATGTACATGACAAGTTAAAAATCATTATTCCCACAGATTTTAGCCATCTTTACACTTAAGTACATTTTTAATCATAGTCACCACATACTAGTTCACAATTAAGCATTTAAAACCATGATTTGAATGTAGTAACATGCCTTAGAGAATTTCCTCAATGAAAACTATAAGTGTTGACGAGGCATTCGTTGCTATGATTGCATGAAACTTATGCCAAGAATTCATTTAACGCGATTGTTTATAAGCAACCTCCACCACTTGTGAATATAAGTTCATAACTATTAGGTGAAACTCACTTATATTCTAGCGTCAAATTCATGCATGAACATTAAGCGTGCACTCTCAATAAACATACACAAACAAGTTATCAATCACACAGTTAAACGAATTGAATCAATCATTCATGAAATTCCAACCAAAAGTAATCAATTCATATTGCAAGCATAAACATGGTTTCGAATCACCCTCTAGCTAACTAGGGGGATTTAGCCTCTCATGTTCACAAAAAGAGAATTACAAATGAATTTAAACATAAAGCACAAAGGATTGATTACACCTAGAACGCACGATGAATCCACTTGAATTTCCACGTGTCGAAGCTCCTCTTTCCTCTTCTCCTTGCTGCGGCAGATTGGGTTTATGGTGTGTTTTGGATGTTTTTCTGGTTTGGGAATGGGTTTAGGGTGGTAAATGTGTGCGGCAAGATTGGTGGAAGGTGGAGGAAGGCTGCGGCAATGGTTTTGGGTGTTGGTGGATGCACGGCTGATGGGAGAATGGGTGTTGGTGGCTGCGTGAAGATGGGGAAAGGGTTATGGAGGCTATGGCTCAATGGAGAGAATGTGAGATTTCTTGCAGCTTAGGGAGGAAAAATGATATGATGGTGGCTGATTAGTGTTAGGGTGAATGTGTAGAATGGGAGAGGGGGTGACGGCTATGGGAAGAGTATTAGGGTGTGAATGGCTGAATCCAAATGGGAGTGACGGCTAGGGTAGTTTTTGGTGTGAAAGTGGCTGAAAAATATGAATGAATGGATGAGATTCTAGGGTGAATTAAAGGGTGTGGCTGAGATGGATTTAGATTAAAATGGATGATGGATGGGAGATGCGGCTGCAAGGTTAAAGAATGAATAATAGAGCATAAAGGGTGCGGCTAGGGTTATAAAATATGTAGGGTTTCAGAAAATAAAACCTAATTTATGTTGGTTAATTAAAATTAAGTTAAAAGCTTCTAGAACTAGGAAATAAAATCAGAAAATAAAAGGGATGGCTGCAAGGTAATTAGCGTGATTAGGGTTTAGGGTTTAATGCATGGATTTGGGCCTAAAATGCCCCCCCCTTGCACGGCAAGGGAAAGGACTTGGGCTAAAGCCCACGGCATTGGGTGTTAAAGGCCCTAGGGCCTTCGTTTTGTGTCTTAAAGCGCCTACAAAGACATCGAAGTGGCTAGAAAATGCGGACGTTTAAGATTAGGAAAGGTTACCAAAACGGGAAACTTAGGGTCAACTTTCCTAAAATAGGAAGCCTTGTTTGAGTAGGATTCTTCGTTTTGGTAAGAATTCATCGTTGGCGTAGGAATTCGTCGTTTCTTCAAGTCTTCAACTCATTCATTCCTCTTTCGCTCCAAAAGACTCCAATTTGCATCTTCTTGCACACTTTGGCCTTATAATCTGAAAATACACAAAAGTGGCCTTAGACACTGAAATAGATAAGTAAACACAACATAAATGCACGAGAACAAGCTAATTAAGTCGCATGAATATGCTCCTATCATGAACTCACTTGGAATACATTTTGACCCCAAAAAATTAACTATATCGGCATACCAAGGTGTACTAACCTTTATGGACAGCAATTGTTCATCGGGAAATGTCTCTGCAATGGGTAGGGACTCCTCATTATGCACCATGCGGCTTAGGTGGTCAGCCACCACATTCTCCACGCCCTTCTTATCCCGAATCTCAATGTCAAACTCTTGTAGAAGCAACAGCCATCGAATTAGTCTAGGCTTGGCCTCTTTTTTTGTGAGCAAATACTTGAGAGCTGCATGATCAGTAAAAATAATAACTTTAGTCCCAAGTAAGTATGACCGAAACTTATCTAATGCAAATACCACATCAAGTAATTCTTTTTCAGTTGTTGAGTAATTTAATTGAGCATCATTCAATGTTCTAGAAGCATAATAAATAACATGAGGTTGTTTGTCCTTCCGCTGCCCCAAAACAGCACCAATCGCATAGTCCGAAGCATCGCACATCAACTCGAATGGAAGGCTCCAATCTGGAGGTGTGATAATGGGAGCCGAAGTGAGACCCTCCTTGAGGTGCTTGAATGCCGTGGAGCATGCATCATCAAACTCAAACGCCACCTCTTTTTGCAGCAATCGGCATAGTGGCTGTGCAATCTTCGAGAAATCCTTTATGAACCGCCTATAAAAACCTGCATGACTAAGAAACGAACGAACCTCTCTAACCGAAGTTGGAGCGGGTAAGTGACGAACAAGGTCTACCTTAGATTTATCTACTTCAATGCCTTTTTCAGAAATAATATGTCCTAAAACAATACCTTGTTTAACCATGAAGTGACATTTTTCCCAATTAAGCACAAGATTTGTTTCAACACAACGGTTCAAAATCAAACTAAGATTACTTAAACAACCATCAAATGATTTACCAAACACACTGAAATCATCCATAAAAACCTCAATAATTTTCTCAACATAATCTGAAAATATGCTCATCATGCATCTTTGAAATGTAGCAGGTCCGTTACATAACCCAAATAGCATGCGACGATAAGCAAATGTACCAAAGGGGCATGTAAAAGTAGTCTTTTCTTGATCATCCGGGGCAATAACAATTTGATTATAACCAGAATATCCATCAAGAAAACAATAAAATGAATGACCCGCTAACCTTTCCAACATTTGACCTAGGAACGGCAATGGGAAGTGGTCCTTCCTCGTGGTGGCGTTTATCTTCCTATAATCAGTGCATACGCGCCAACCGGTTTGGACTCGAGTGGACACTAGCTCATTCTCTGCGTTCCCCACAACCGTCACTCCAGATTTCTTCAGCACGCATTGGATAGGCGAAACCCACTTACTATCCGAGATAGGATAGATAACTCCACAATCTAACAGCTTGATTATCTCCTTCTTCACAACTTCCATCGTCGGAGGGTTAAGACGGCGTTGAGCCTCTCTAGTTGGTTTGGCCCCGTCCTCAAGAAATATATGATGCATGCATGTGGCGGGACTAATACCTTTGATATCGGCCAATGTCCAACCTAGGGCAGATTTGAATTCCTTCAAAACACGCACTAGTTTCTCCTCTTCTTGTGCCGTGAGTGATGAAGAAATGATGGCCGGTAATGTCTCCTCTTCCCCCAAGAAAATGTACTTCAAATGGCTCGGTAATGGTTTGAGATCAAGGGTAGGTGCCTGAACTATAGATGGAAGCAATTTGTTAGTCGAAATGGGAATGGACTCACGGTTAGTATACTTACCATCAAGCTTAGGTGAGGACTCAAGGCAGCCACAACTTCAAGTAATTCCTCACTAGGGGGCACGGCATGGGATGACTCTAGTATGCCGTGGGCATGCATGCAATCTGCCCCCTTTGTTTTGAGTTCCATGCCTCGTGTAATGACTTTTTCAAGCGCATCGTCATTCAAATCGTCGAGATATCCCTGCGCCAAAGAGTCAATTATATCAATAGAAAAGCATGAATGGTCCTCACTAGGGTATTTAATGGAATCAGAAAGATTAAACTTAAGCATGAATGGCCTTCCAAGTAGAATGGGCAGCGAAAGAGCATGGCCCGATTGCTCCATTTCGAGGACATAGAAATCCGCCGGGAAGACCAAATGATTAACCTGCACAAGAACATCTTCCAAAACTCCCTTTGGATAGGCGTTAGATCTATCGGCCAATTGTATTATTACCCCATCATTTTTCAATGCTCCTAAGTTCATAGATGCATAAATGGAATATGGCATAACATTTATAGAAGCACCTAAATCAAGCATGGCAGATTCAAATCTAGTATTCCCAATGACACAAGGAATGGTAAAGCTACCTGGATCCTTGCATTTGGGAGGTAGTTTGCGTTGCAAGATGGCGGACACATTCTCACCTACCTTTACCACTTCTTTAGTCGACATCCTCTTCCTAGTGGTACACAACTCCTTCAAGAACTTAGCATACCTCGGAACTTGCTTGATTGCATCTAACAAAGGTATGTTAACTTGAACTTTCCTAAAGGTTTCAAGGATATCCTTTTCTGCCTCTTCTTTCTTCGTTTGCATGAACCTACTAGGAAAAGGCACATTTGAAGGGAAAACATTAGTATGAACCGAATTTGACACATTCTTACCTTTGTGGGACAAATTTGGCAGATTTGGGACCATAGGGACTTGCGGCAAAGGTGGAATCACCTTTGCCGTGGGCAACCTTGTTTCCTCCTCTTCCATTTGCAAAATTTCATCCTCGTTATGACCTGTTTTTGATGTAGGACCTGCCCCAACTTCCTTACCACTTCTTAGGGTGATTGCTTTGGCTGATTCGAAACCTCCCTTCGGATCTGGAATGGTGGAACTAGGGAGTTGTCCGGGATCTCGAAACTTACCTACAAACTCGGCAATCTGCCCAATTTGTTTCTCAAGTTGATCCACCCTCTTATCTTGGTTTTGCATAGCCTTCGCTTGATCTTCCTGCCCATTAGACAACTTAGTTAGTATCTTAAGAAGTGCATCATTGTCAAGAGACGTACCTGAGGCACTTGGGCCGGATTGGGCTTGATTTTGGGGTGGGCCGTAGGTTTTGGGAAAGAACCCCGGGGGTTGTTGCCTAAAGCCTCCTTGGTTTTGAGGTTGCTGGGAATCCCTCCACTTGAAATTTGGGTGGTCTCGCCACCCCGGATTATACGTGTTGGAGCATGGATCATGTCTTGACTGATTTTGGCTTTGAAACCCAATGGCATTCGCACTCTCCCATCCACCATTCTCGATGAGTTGAGGACACTTTTCGGAGGCATGTCCTTGGATAGAACATACGCCACATACCACAGGTCCTTGCATCCTCATGCCTTCGGCCATCCGAGACACAATGGAAGTAAGATTAGCTAACTGGGAATGAATGTCAGGTGTGGAACTTACCTCATGAACCTGCTGCTGTGGGGGTCCTCTTTGGCCTACTCCCTCATACTGTTGAGCGTTCAATGCTCGGTTAGCGATCAAGACCTTGGCATCCCTGGGCGTCTTGTCCACCAATGCTCCACCCGCCGATGCGTCAAGCATTTGTCGTTCAATTGGCAGGAGCCCCTCGTAGAAGTATTGCAGAAGCAACTCCTCCTTCATCTGGTGCTGTGGACAAGAAGCAATAAGAGATTTAAAACATTCATAGTACGTAGGAAAAGACTCACCATCTTCTTGCTGGATTCCACTTATCCTTTTTCGTAAAAGGATGATTCGAGAAGTTGGGAAAAACTTCTCCAGAAAGGCTCTCTTCATGCTCTCCCACGATGTAACGGTTCCGGGAGCTAAGTCGTACAACCAATCCTTGGATTTGTCCATTAAAGAGAATGGAAAAGCCTTCTTCTTCAGAATACTTCCGTGTACGTTGACAGGAGTCATACTTGAGCACACCACCTCGAATTCCTTTAGATGCTTGTTCGGATCCTTGATAGGAGCATATTCATGCGACTTAAATGGCTTGTTCTCGGACATTTACGTTATGTTTCTTTAGTTATTTTAGTCCTTTATGCTTCTTTTGTGTGTTTTCAGGTTCTAAGGGCAAAGTATGCAAAAGGGTGCATTTTGGTGCATTTTGGAGTAGTTTGGGGCGTTAAATGGATTGCATATACTTGAAGCCAAGTAGATGGACGAAATTGAAGACCAAAGGAGGCCCTTTGTACCAGAAATTCACACCAACACATCCCATTTCAGATTGCATTCCAATCATTCCAGCCAAGCCACATGCACTCCCTTTAATTTATTCAACCTAGATGTCAAAGCACATGCACATTCACCCTAATCATTCACATACACAATCTGCCATCATTCACACATTCATTCCACATGCATTCCCTTCATATAAATCAGCCACATGCACCCATAATCATTCAACCAACTTTGCACATGCATTCATCATCATAACCTAGCTGTCATTCCACTTTAATCCACATGCATTCCCTTCACAAATCAGCCACATGCATCTCCCATCACCATTCCAGATTTCCACCAAGTTCCTAGCTGTCATATTCCCTCCTTTTCACCTATAAATAAGCATCCATTGCAGCCACAATGGATTCATTCCCATTCATACACAATTCATTCACCATTCACGCCAGAAATTCATCCCCTCTCTATAACACATCCATACTTCACCATTCTTCATATTTTCTGCCCAAAAAGAAGCCTTGAGGTCTCCTACATCCATCCCTATCCTAAACACATCATTCTACACCATCCATAACTCCCCATCCCTCCAAACCTATCCTTAGACCTTGTGCTACACCGAAGAGGAGGAGAAGAGTGCCTAAACGTTCATACAATTCAAGTTTGAGTTGTTCGAATGTTTAGGTGTTTCTTTTCCTCGATTCCAATGTTTAATTTCCATTCTCTTTGTTTTGTACGTATGAGGAACTAAACCCCCCCTTGGCTAGGGGGGGATTCGAAATATATGTTTATGCTTGCATTTTGATTTGATTACTTCTAATTGCGTTTCATAAGTTGTGGATTCAATTTGTTTAACTGTTTGATTGATAACTTATTTATGTATGTTTATTGAGAGTATACGCTTAATTTTCATGCATGAATATGACGCTAGAATATAAGTGAGTTTCACCTAATAGTTACGAACTTATATTCACAAGTAGTGGAGGTTGCTTATAAACAATCGCGTTAAACGAATTCTTGGCATAAGTTTCATGCAATCATAGTAACGAACGCCTCGTCAACACTTATAATTTTCATAGAGCGTAATGATTCTTGCTTGTATCTCTATTATGCAATCATGTAGGGGACTTGAGGGGAATGTTTTGGGTTGTCGTATGCAATCATCCAATTCAATAACGTTAGGAAGATTTGAAGGTTAATTAGTGCATCACGGTTAACTTGGGGTGTTGAGAATTCATGGTTTATTGAAATGCAATTGGAAATCTTTTTATTATGCAAGTGTAACATGTGTGGAGATGAACCCCTTAGCTAGCCATCCCATCCATTCAATTCCATCACATTCATCTTTACAATCTGTTTTTAAATACAATCTGTGCATTTTAGTTAATATCGTCAAAAACTAAATCCCCCTTTACTTTATTGTCAAATTAGTTAGAAATCAATTTAGTTTGTGTTTTTAAGAGTCTTGAGTCAAGTTACAACTTAATTTCGTCCAAATTTGGGTTTAAGGTCAGAAACTGCCTAGTTAGTGTTTTTAGGCAGTTTTGAGTCTTTTGAACTTGTTTTGAGTCCTTTGAGTCTTTTGAACCTGTTTTGAGTCCTTTGAGTCTTTGTATTGTCCAAATAAGTTAGAAAGTGTCTTAGTTTGTGTTTTTAAGTGTCTTGATTCAAGTTATTACCCAAATTCGTCCAAAGTACTCAAAGTGCTCAAAACTGCCCAGAAAGTGTTTTTAAGGCAGTTTTGAGTGTTTTGGGTGCTGTTTTGAGTCTTTTGGTTTGTTTTGGTGTTTGAAAGTTTAGTTTTGCATTCTTTGAGTCTAGTATAGTGTTTTATATTGTGTTTTTACGTTTTTGAGTCAAATCCAAGTGATTAACAATCCCTCCTAATCCCCGGTCCAGAACGATCCCTACTTACGTACTTACTACAATTGATAAAAAGAAGGTTTAATTTGTGTGCGTATATAATTCTCGCATCAAATTTTGGCGCCGTTGCCGGGGATTAGCAAATTTGCTAATCCCTTGGATTGTTCGTTTCTGTTATGTATTTTAGTTTTAGTTTTTTATTTGTGTTTTGTTTGTTGATTTCAAGTACTAGAGAAACACAACATGGCACTTGATAATGCTTCTCTTTTGTCACAGCTCATGGAAAGGTCCCAAATGCAAAGCGTTGATATATTTGTTGAGTATTTTTCCTTCTTAATGCTAGAATATGTTTAGTATAATGGCACAAGCAAGGGTGTCGAATCCACAGGGACTAATTGGACCTATGTAATTACTTGTTTTGCAAGAACTCTACGAAATGAATCAAACTAATCAACTTAGGCAGATTTGTTGTTGTAACTTGAAAGTATAAGAAAATGAAGTAAACACAAATAAATGAATCAACAACTAGTACAATGAGATAGTTCCAATGGAAATGAAGCTAGGGATTCGGTTTCACCATTGCTCAACTAAGTCCATGTTTGTTAAGTTAGTTGATACTCATTCATCTACCTATTTCTTAAGTTTGTTTCACTTGGATATGATCAACCATATGATGTGTGGATTTGATCAAATGTCTCTAATTATGAACCTAATTGTGATGTGCAACTTTGGTTCCTAATCAAAAGTATGTAGTGCACAAGAAACTTTCATAAAACCAAAGGGAACACTCGGCAGGATGTTTGCCAAACATTCCCTTCATTCATTCACAAATCCACCAAGATTAGACATGATGTATGCTTTAATCTTGGCTAAATAACCTGTGGTTAATTCAAATGGTGATCAAGCATACAAATCAACTCACAAATTCACAATTATATCAGAGAATGAAACAAGAATTAGATGGATAAACTGAGCATTCTAACTTGATTACATGGCAAACTTTGCAAGGCTACATCGAATCCCTAGGGGAAGATTAGTTACACTTCATGTTTACAAAGGTTTGACATAAAAATAAATAACATGAGTGAACATAGAATTAAGAAGAAGAAACCCTTGAAGCAAAACTGATGTTGAATTCCTTGAAGAGTGGCCTTCGGGGTTGGTTCTCCAAGTGTGATGCAAATGAACTAACTCGGCTTGGTATGTTTTCTGCAAATGGGAGAGCAAATGGGCAGAGAATGGACAGAGAATAGGGTGAAATGGAGCGGCTATGTGTGAATAAATGGAATGAATGCAGAACCCTTTAATGTGTGAAGTGTGCCTAGTTTTATAGGAAGGAATGTGGCTGCCAACATTCAGATTGGATCTCCTCTGCACAAGTGAGCTGGAAGAGCATAAAATTAGCTGGAATTGATGGGTTTCTGAGGTGGTGGACGCACGGCACTAGGGAAAGATGCATGAATGTTGTTTGTTTAATTGAGCTACATGTGCACTTGCTGCAACAAGTGAGTGGTAAATCTGGAAGTGGTTGTACAGGCTGGAAAGGGGAAGAAAGCACACGGCATGGACAAAGGGGGCGCTGGAATCACATGGAATGATGGGATGAATGGATTTCTGGAATGATGGATGCAAGGAATGGACATGATCTGCAGGTATGTGGTTTATTTAATCAAAATGCATGTGGATTTCTGCAAAGATGAAGTGGAGAAAGGTAAAGGAATGCACGGTCAGGTTGTGGACATGCATGTGAATGCATGTTTTGATGTTTAGAAGTGCATAATCTGACTTGGAACCACATGGGATTTGCATGACATGATTGTGTTTGTTGGTGGAAATATGGCTGAATGTTTTAGTTAATGGGAGTGGGTGTTTTTGGTGCAAAATGGAGCTGGACAAGGCAAGGGAATACACGGCACAAGTTATGTGGAATAACAAGGTGTCCGCATGTTTTTGCCTTGTTTAGAACTACCCAATGTGACTCCAATGCACCACTTTCCTAATCACATCTTCTCTTGAATTTCAGCAGCCACATTAGTCCTAGATTCCTCATATTTGGACTTCAAATTAATTCCCAAGAACCCTTTCCACGTTTGGAATAATGCTCAGCTACCAAAAGGAATGTTTTTACTTCATTTGCCTTCCCATTGATCCAAATTCACCCTTGGCTGCACACTAACACCAAATAATGTAAAATGCAACTAGTTTAATCCAAAACAATCACAAAGACGCCAAATAAGGAAGAAATAAATGAATGCAAAATGTGACTTATCAAATACCCCCAAACCTGGTTTTTGCTAGTCCTCGAGCAAACTTAAAACTAAAACACACAAAACACAAACATTTAACTAAACCACTTTCGCTGGCTAAACGATTGCACTGAGCATGTGCAACAAGCCTTTGAACCCCTAGGTGTCCCTAGTTGGAGGAGTTGTGTCTCCTGAGGGTTTACAGTGATGACACCCACAAACATTTACAAACACTGCAAACAATTTGGGTAATACATGCTTTAAACAAACTAATAAGAACCAATGAAGATTTTGTCATACATTCAACTCAAAAGTTTGCCACTTCAAAGAATCGTATCAATTGTAACGTATAAAGATATTTCTCCATATCTTACAACTTCAAAGTCACCATACCCAAATGCTTAAGATAGAATTCGCCTCAACTCTACTCCTCACAGCTTCCACTCAAGTTCTCACTCAGATCTTAAGGTTTAGTCTCTCAACAACATATATGAGTGAAATTATGTAAAGGGAATCAAAATTCTCACATATGAAATCTGAAATGGAAGCACAGTTTCTGAGTAGATCTCATGAAATGAATCAAATACTAAGAATATAGATAACACACACACTTACCATCACCCATGAATACATCCTCAATGATCAGTTAGGTCTTTCTCAAGATTGTAATGCAAGGCTTAGGGTATAGGTTATGAAAGACTTGATATGAAATACTAGAGTTTGGGGCATACCAAAGTATCCTTGAGGATCATGCTCTTCACTGGCCTTTGTCTTCTTTTGTTTTTGGCGTCCAGGCCCTATGCTTTATAATGAGGCGATTTGGAATTTGTATCCACTTTGATCCTCTTTTTTTTTTTTTTTTAGAAACATTTTCAACATAGGTGCCCTCGGTACACGCCACAATCTTGCTCTATAACTCAATCTGCCCTTAGTCTTCATCACATTGGTATTCCCCAAACTATAAGGTATGGCTTGAAATGGGCTATAATGGGTAGATTATGGTGTGGGTGATGAAAGAATTAGGCTAAAGTGTTTGGCTGCAACAAGGGTGAATGGAGCACACAAGTGGGTAGGATTTAAGCCTTTTAGTAGTTAAACATGCATAGCCTAACATCATCTCATTGAGTTCATTCATGAATGATACTAAACACATGGTATCTACAAAGGAGAGTGATTCTTAGTATTCAAACAAAATAGAAGTAATGAGATCATTTAGAGTGAAATTGAAAGAAAAAGATAGGAGTAGAAACACTTTAAACCCTCTCAAAGAAGCAATTAGGCTCAAAATAACTCACTAGGGTAGTCTCCACTATTCTTCTTTCAGAATTTGAGTATGGTACCTCCATGATCATAATTTCAAGAGTTAAAGCTTTATACATGACAACAAGATGCAACACTTTTTCATAGCAACCCAATCGTTTGTTTTCAAACATAGCCCTCATATACATTCATATTAGCAAGCAAAAACACACTTAACCAAAGAAAAACACAAAAACAAACAACCCAAACAAATTGAACAACCCAAACTGCCCTCATATACATTCATATTAGCAAGCAAAAACACACTTAACCAAACAAAAACACAAAAACAAACAACCCAAACAAATTGAACAAAATGAACTTCCCATCCCATACCCCCAAACCTAATCTAAACATTGTCCTCGATGTTTAAAATTTGTATGCAATGCAAGTAGGCAAAGAATATGGAATGGTAACAATATAAACACAACATAAAGAAAGAACACAAACCACACTAGGTTGCCTCCTAGCAAGCGCTTTATTTAATGTCTAGGCAAGACATGGTAGCTTGTTCATGGTGTTGTAAACTCAAGAAAATCTACAACTTGATACACTGGCTCTTCCTCCACTTTCTCCAAATATGGTTTCAATCGCTGCCCATTGACTTTAAAAGAGGTGCCATTCTTCATGTTCTCTATCTCCACAGCTCCATGGGGAAATGTTTGCAGCACTTTGAATGGTCCCACCCACCTAGACTTCAGTTTTCCTGGAAAAAGTCTCAAACGTGAGTCATACAAAAGTACTTTCATACCTTGGTGAAACTCCTTCCTTGTGATGGCTTTGTCATGATAGAGCTTAATTCGTTCTTTGTAGATTTTGGCATTCTCATATGCCTCATTTCTAAGTTCTTCCAACTCATTAAGTTGGAGCTTCCTTGCCATTCCAGCATCCTTGTAATCAAGGTTGAACTTCTTGATGGCCCAATATGCACAGTGTTCAAGCTCCATTGGCAAATGACAAGCTTTCCCAAACACAAGGCGATAAGGACTCATCCCAATGGGGGTCTTGTATGCCGTTCTATATGCCCAGAGTGCATCATTCAACCTCAATGACCAATCCTTCCTTGTAGGGCTCACAGTCTTCATCAAAATGTTCTTGATCTCCCTATTGCTAATCTCCACTTGTCCTGAGGTTTGAGGATGGTATGGGGTTGCCACTTTGTGGTTGATGTTGTACTTCTTCATCAAGGATTCAAAGGGCTTGTTGCAGAAATGGCTGCCACCATCACTAATAATAGCTCTTGGGGTTCCAAACCTACAAAAAATCACATCTTTAAGAAAATTCAAAACAACCTTATGATCATTAGTTCTTGTAGCAATGGCTTCAACCCATTTGGATACATAATCTACTGCCACTAATATGTATAAGTGGCCAAAAGAGGATGGAAATGGTCCCACGAAATCGATTCCCCAAACATCAAAGAGCTCCACCACCAAAATGTTGTTCAATGGCATCTCATTTCTTTGGCTAATGTTCCCCATTTTCTGGCACCTATCACACTTAGAACAAAAATCAAAAGCATCTTTGAATAAAGTAGGCCAAAAGAAACCAGATTGTAAAACCTTTAGAGATGTCTTTTTGGCACCAAAATGTCCTCCACATGCCAATGTATGGCTAAATGCTAGGATGCTTTGTTGCTCACTCTCTGGGACACATCTCCTAATGATTTGGTCAGGGCAATATTTGAACAAATATGGTTCGTCCCAAACGTAGTGCTTTACCATGGCAAGGAATTTCTTTCTTTCCTGAAAAGAAAGGTCATTTCTCATTATACCACAAGCAAGATAATTAACAAAATCTGCATACCATGGTTCTTTTTCTTGAACAACAAGGAGTTGTTCATCTGGAAATGATTCATTTAGGGGCAAAGTTTGCCCAACTCCATGGTTTTCATTAAGCCTGGACAAATGGTCAGCCACAACATTATCACTGCCCTTCTTATCTCGAATTTCCAAGTCAAACTCTTGTAGTAAGAGTATCCATCTAATCAAGCGTGGTTTAGCATCCTTCTTTGTCATCAAGTACCTAAGGGCTGCATGATCAGAAAACACAATAACTTTAGATCCCACAAGATATGACCTAAACTTTTCTAAGGCAAAAACAACAGCAAGCAACTCCTTTTCAGTTGTGGAATAGTTAAGTTGAGCATCATGCAGAGTCCGGCTTGCATAGTAGATCACATGTGGAAGCTTGTTCACCCTTTGCCCTAAAACTGCACCAATAGCATAGTCAGAGGCATCACACATTAATTCAAAAGGTAACGACCAATCTGGTGCCATAATAATAGGGGCCGAGGTTAGTTCATATTTCAAAGTATTGAATGCATCCATGCAAGCTTTATCAAAATGAAATACAACATCTTTAGCTAACAGATTGCATAATGGACGAGTGATCATTGAAAAGTTCTTAATGAAACGACGATAAAAACCCGCATGGCCCAAAAAACTTCTTACTCCCTTCACAGTGGTGGGGGCTACCATATTGGTGATGACGTCAATTTTGGCTTTGTCCACCTCCATTCCTTTGCTAGAGATTACATGTCCCAACACAATTCCTTGTTTCACCATAAATTGGCACTTTTCCCAATTGAGAACCAAATTTGTTTCATGACATCTTTGAAGTACTAAAGAAAGATGGTTAAGACATTCATCAAAAGAGGAACCAAACACTGAGAAGTCATCCATAAATACCTCAATGAATCTTTCTACCATGTCAGAAAAGATGGCCAACATGCATCTTTGGAATGTTGCTGGAGCATTGCAAAGTCCAAAAGGCATTCTCCTGTATGCAAATGTGCCAAAGGGGCAAGTAAAGGTTGTTTTCTCTTGATCCTCCGGAGCGATTGCAATTTGATTGTAACCTGAGTATCCATCTAGAAAACAATAATGTGAGTAACCTGCCAATCTCTCAAGCATTTGATCTATGAAAGGCATAGGAAAGTAATCTTTTCTAGTGCTAGAATTCAACTTCCTGTAATCGGTGCAAACACGCCAACTAGCCGTGGGCTTTGTGGGCACAAGCTCATTGTTTTCATTCTTCATCACTGTGATTCCCACCTTCTTAGGTACCACTTGAATAGCACTCACCCATTTGCTATCAGAAATGGGATATATGATCCCCATATCTAACAATTTCAACACCTCATTCCTAACAACTTCCTTCATGTGTGGGTTAAGCCTTCTTTGTGGTTCACGGGTTGACTTTGCTCCTTCCTCCAAAAGAATTCTATGCATGCACATGGTAGGGCTTATTCCCTTGATATCTGCAATAGACCAACCAAAAACTGATTTGAACTCTTTTAACACCCTAATTAGTTTATCTTCTTCATTTGGGGTGAGATCAGAAGCTATGATAATTGGAAGAGTTTCAAATTCAGCTAGATATGCATATTTTAGATGTGGTGGAAGTGGTTTAAGTTCAAGTTTTGGTGCCTTAACAGTGGAAGGAGTTAGGTGTGACATTGATGATTCTAAAGGCTCTAAAAGAGGTGAAACATTCAAAGGATACAATGCTAATGCATCTAAGGCAGCTACTTCTTCCATGAGTGCATCTTCTTCATCAAACTCATCTTGAGATTGACTCAAAACAGTTTGTAATGGTTCATTCGATTGTGCCTGCAAGAACTTAGAGTATACAAGTGAATCAAGCACATCAATGGCATAACAATCAAGAGATGAAGAAGGATGAGAAAGAGATTCAAACACTTTGAATTGAACTGTCTCTCCTAACACTGTCATAGTGAGGAGTCCATTTTGCACATCAATGATGGTCTTGGCCGTGGCCATGAAAGGTCTCCCAAGCAATATAGGCAACTCACGATCATGTATAGGAGCTTCTACCATGTCCAACACTACAAAATCTGCAGGCAAGATTAGTTTATCAACTTGAACTAGAATATCTTCTACTATACCTCTTGGATATTTCACGGATCTGTCTGCAAGTTGTAATGAAATGGTGGTGGCTTTCAAATCTCCCAAACCTAGTTGAAGGTACACTGAATAAGGCATTAAGTTGACGCTAGCACCCAAATCAAGCATTGCCTTCTCTACTTTCTTGTCCCCTATGGTGATGTTGATAGAGAAGCTTCCTGGATTCTTGAGCTTTGGTGGAAGTTTTCTTTGCAAAACTGCACTCACATTCTCAAACACCACTACCTTCTCATGTGGTCCATACTTCATTTTGTAGCTGTTTAACTCCTTGAAGAACTTCCCATATGCTGGCATGTTCCTAATGACATCAAGCAAAGGTAAGTTAACATTCACTTTGCTTAGTATATCAAAAATTTCCTTGAATGACTTATCCTGCTTGCTCTTGGCAAGTCTTCCAGGGAATGGTATTGGTGGAGTGTATGGTTTCTCGGCCTTGTGAAGATTTGGGGCTTCAAATGAGGAAGTAGCATGGCTTGGTTCCTCATTTGGTTTCTCATTGTCTCCTTGAGTAACATCTGCATTCACATGATCATATTCATTAGTAACTTCATTGCCAACTCTATTATCAATAACTTTACCACTTCTAAGTGTAGTGATTGCTTTGGCTTGCTCTTGGTTCCTTTGGAGTATCACGGGTTGGCTTGGGAACTTTCCAACTTCTCTTACCAAGAATTCAATTAACGCATGATACTCTTACCAAGAATTCAAACTACTTCCAAGTATGCACTAATTAACTATGAATGCATGATACTCTTACCAAGAATTCAATTAACGCGGTTGTGACTAGCAACTTCACTACTCATCCAATTCAATAACATAAGGAAAATTTGAGAGTTAATTAGTGCATCACGGTTAACTTGGGGTGTTGAGCATCATAGTTAATGAAAAGCAATTGGAGAATCGATTCATATACAAACGTTATTGAATTGGATGATTGCATACGACAACCCAAAACATTCCTCACAAGTCCCCTACATGATTGCATAATAGAGATACAAGCAAGAATCATTACGCTATATGAAAATTATAAGTGTTGACGAGGCATTCGTTACTATGATTGCATGAAACTTATGCCAAGAATTCATTTAACGCGATTGTTTATAAGCAACCTCCACTACTTGTGAATATAAGTTCGTAACTATTAGGTGAAACTCACTTATATTCTAGCGTCATATTCATGCATGAAAATTAAGCGTATACTCTCAATAAACATACATAAATAAGTTATCAATCAAACAGTTAAACAAATTGAATCCACAACTTATGAAACGCAATTAGAAGTAATCAAATCAAAATGCAAGCATAAACATATATTTCGAATCCCCCCTAGCCAAGGGGGGGGTTTAGTTCCTCATACGTACAAAAAAAAAAGAACTGAAATTAAACATTGGAATCGAGGAAAAGAAACACCTAAACATTCCAACAACTCAAACTTGAATTGTATGAACGTTTAGGCACTCTTCTCCTCCTCTTCGGTGTAGCACAAGGTCTAAGGATAGGTTTGGAGGGATGGGGAGTTATGGATGGTGTAGAATGATGTGTTTAGGATAGGGATTGATGTAGGAGACCTCAAGGCTTCTTTTTGTGCAGAAAATATGAAGAATGGTGAAGTATGGATGTGTTATAGAGAGGGGATGAATTTCTGGCGTGAATGGTGAATGAATTGTGTATGAATGGAATGAATCCATTGTGGCTGCAATGGATGCTTATTTATAGGTGAAAATGAGGGAATATGACAGCTAGGAACTTGGTGGAAATCTGGAATGGTGATGGGAGATGCATGTGGCTGATTTGTGAAGGGAATGCATGTGGATTAAAGTGGAATGACAGCTAGGTTATGATGATGAATGTATGTGCAAAGTTGGTTGAATGATTATGGGTGCATGTGGCTGATTTATATGAAGGGAATGCATGTGGAATGAATGTGTGAATGATGGCAGATTGTGTATGTGAATGATTAGGGTGAATGTGCATGTGCTTTGACAGCTAGGTTGAATAAATTAAAGGGAGTGCATGTGGCTTGGCTGGAATGATTGGAATGCAATCTGAAATGGGATGTGTTGGTGTGAATTTCTGGTACAAAGGGCCTCTTTTGGTCTTCAATTTCGTCCATCTACTTGGCTTCAAGTATATGCAATCCATTTAACGCCCCAAACTACTTCCAATTGAATGGATGGGATGGCTAGCTAAGGGGTTCATCTCCACACATGTTACACTTGCATAATAAAAAGATTTCCAATTGCATTTCAATAAACCATGAATTCTCAACACCCCAAGTTAACCGTGATGCACTAATTAACCTTCAAATCTTCCTAACGTTATTGAATTGGATGATTGCATACGACAACCCAAAACATTCCCCACAAGTCCCCTACATGATTGCATAATAGAGATACAAGCAAGAATCATTACGCTCTATGAAAATTATAAGTGTTGACGAGGCATTCGTTACTATGATTGCATGAAACTTATGCCAAGAATTCGTTTAACGCGATTGTTTATAAGCAACCTCCACTACTTGTGAATATAAGTTCGTAACTATTAGGTGAAACTCACTTATATTCTAGCGTCATATTCATCCATGAAAATTAAGCGTGTACTCTCAATAAACATACATAAATAAGTTATCAATCAAACAGTTAAACAAATTGAATCCACAACTTATGAAACGCAATTAGAAGTAATCAAATCAAAATGCAAGCATAAACATATATTTCGAATCCCCCCCTAGCCAAGGGGGGGTTTAGTTCCTCATACGTACAAAACAAAGAGAATTGAAATTAAACATTGTAATCGAGGAAAAGAAACACCTAAACATTCCAACAACTCAAACTTGAATTGTATGAACGTTTAGGCACTCTTCTCCTCCTCTTCGTTGTAGCACAAGGTCTAAGGATAGTTTGATGGTGTGGATGTGTGTTTGAATGAATGAATTTCTGAAATGGAAGAATGTATGAGAATGAATGGGAATGAATGAATTGTGGCTGCAATGGATGCTTATTTATAGGTGAAAAGGAGGGAATATGACAGCTAGGAACTTGGTGGAAATCTGGAATGGTGATGGGAGATGCATGTGGCTGATTTATGCATGTGATTAGAGGGTAATGACAGCTAGGTTATGATGATGAATGCATGTGCAAAGTTGGTTGAATGATTACGGGTGCATGTGGCTGATTTATGGTGCAATGATGAAAGGCAAAGTCCATGTGGCTGATTTGTGAAGGGAATGCATGTGGAATGAATGTGTGAATGATGGCAGATTGTGTATGTGAATGATTAGGGTGAATGTGCATGTGCTTTGACAGCTAGGTTGAATAAATTAAAGGGAGTGCATGTGGCTTGGCTGGAATGATTGGAATGCAATCTGAAATGGGATGTGTTGGTGTGAATTTCTGGTACAAAGGGCCTCCTTTGGTCTTCAATTTCGTCCATCTACTTCGCTTCAAGTATATGCAATCCATTTAACGCCCCAAAATGCACCAAAATGCACCATTTTGCATACTTTGCCCTTAGAACCTGAAAACACACAAAAGAAGCATAAAGGACTAAAATAACTAAAGAAACATAACGTAAATGCACGAGAACAAGCCATTTAAGTCGCATGAATATGCTCCTATCAGTAAGTTACCAAGTTCAACGCAAGTGAATTCGAAAGGTGGATTCGAATCTGCCAAAGCCATAGTGTTGAGAAGCGGAAAAGAAGTTGGGGCAGGTTCTTCATCAAAAACATGTCACAAAGAGGATGAAAAACTGCATTTTGAAGAGGGGGAAGTAACCAAACCCACGGCAAGGGTGGAACTCCCTTTGCCGCAAGCTTCTAATGGCTCTAAACCACCCAATCTGTCCAATAAAGGTAAAAACGTGTTAAGTTCAGTTCCTACTAATATTTTTCCTTCGAATGTGCCTTTTCCTAGTAGGTTCATGCAAACAAAGAGAGAGGAAGCCGAAAAAGACATTCTCGAAACGTTTCGGAAAGTTCAAGTCAATATCCCTCTTTTGGATGCAATCAAGCAAGTCCCGCGGTACGCCAAGTTTTTGAAGGAGCTTTGCACTAATAAAAGGAAGATTTCGACCAAGGAGGTTGTCAAAGTGGGTGAAAATGTCTCCGCCATCTTGCAAAGAAAACTGCCCCCTAAATGCAAGGATCCGGGTAGTTTTACAATTCCATGTGTTATTGGTAATACTCGTTTCGAATCTGCCATGTTAGATTTAGGTGCATCAATAAATGTCATGCCATATTCAATTTATGCATCTATGAATCTAGGAGCATTGAAAAATGATGGTGTTATTATACAATTGGCCGATAGATCTAATGCCTATCCAAAGGGAGTTTTGGAAGATGTTTTAGTACAGGTCAATCATTTAATCTTTCCGGCGGATTTCTATGTGCTTGAAATGGATGAGTCCGACCATGCCCCTTCATTGCCCGTCCTCCTTGGAAGGCCATTCATGAAAACTGCTCGTACAAAGATTGACGTATATAATGGCAATTTGACAATGGAATTTGATGGGGAAGTTATTAAGTTCAATCTTTCTGATTCTATGAAGTACCCTAGTGAGAATCATTCGTGTTTTGCTATTGATATAATTGATTCTCTGGCGCAGGACCATTTGGACAATTTGAAGGACGATGCACTTGAATTGGTCATTGCACAAGGAAGGGACGTGCAGAACATTGAGACAACCACCAAGGAACCCCACGGCATGCATGAGGAGTCCTTGGCCTTGCCCCCTAGTGAGGATATGATGGAGATGGTGGTTGCACTCGAGTCATTGCCATCCCATTCAGGTAAGTTTTTGGACCCTATTTTAAGTTCTGTTTCGACTAATAAAATGCTTCCCTCAGTTGTGCAGCCACCTACACTTGAACTTAAGCCGTTGCCGAGTCACTTGAAGTACGTGTTCTTGGGAGAGGATGAGACATTGCCTGTCATTATTTCATCCTCACTCACAGCACAAGAGGAGAGCAAATTAGTGCGAGTGCTTAAAGAGTACAAGACGGCAATTGGATGGACTTTGGCCGACATAAAGGGAATCAGCCCTACTATGTGCATGCATCGCATTCTTCTAGAGGAGGGGTCCAAAACATCTCGAGAGGCTCAACGCTGTCTTAACCCTCCGATGATGGAAGTAGTGAAGAAAGAGGTAATCAAATTGCTTGATTGTAGAGTGATTTATCCTATTTCTGATAGCAGGTGGGTTTCGCCCGTGCAATGCGTTCCAAAGAAATCCGGAGTAACTGTGGTTGAAAACGCCGAGAATGAGATTGTTCCTACGCGCATTCAAACTGGTTGGAGGGTGTGCATCGACTATAGGAAGTTAAACGCCACCACAAGGAAGGACCACTTCCCATTGCCGTTCATTGACCAAATGCTCGAAAGGTTAGCGGGATATGCTTTCTATTGTTTTCTTGATGGTTACTCTGGTTATAATCAAATTGTCATAGCACCCGAGGACCAAGAAAAAACCACTTTCACATGCCCTTTTGGTACATTTGCATATCGTCGCATGCCTTTTGGTTTATGTAATGCACCTGCTACGTTTCAAAGATGCATGATGAGTATATTTTCTGATTATGTTGAGAAAATCATTGAAGTTTTTATGGATGATTTTAGCGTCTTTGGTAATTCTTTTGATGGTTGCTTGCATAATCTGAGTTTGATTCTAAAACGTTGTGTTGAAACTAACCTTGTTCTTAATTGGGAAAAGTGTCATTTCATGGTTAAAAAAGGCATAGTTTTAGGGCACATTATCTCTGAAAACGGCATTGAAGTAGACAAATCTAAAATAGATCTTGTACGTCACTTACCCTCTCCAACTTCGGTTAGAGAGGTTCGTTCTTTTCTTGGCCATGTAGGATTCTATCGTAGGTTTATAAAGGACTTCTCAAAAGTTGCACAACCTCTTTGCCGTCTCCTACAAAAAGAAGTGGCGTTTGAATTCACCAAGGAGTGCACGGCTTCATTCAATCAACTCAAGGAGTTGTTGACCACGGCACCAATCATTGCTCCCCCTGATTGGAGTCTCCCTTTTGAATTGATGTGTGACGCCTCTGATTATGCTCTAGGGGCTGTTTTAGGGCAAAGGAAAGACAAAAGGCCGCATGTCATCTACTATGCTTCACGGACGTTGAATGATGCACAACTAAATTATTCTACAACCGAAAAAGAACTATTGGCTATTGTATTTGCATTAGATAAGTTTAGATCATATCTTCTTGGTACTAAAGTCATTGTTTTCACTGACCATGCAGCCTTGAGGTATCTTTTCACAAAAAAGGAGGCCAAGCCAAGACTCATTCGATGGATGCTCCTACTTCAAGAGTTCGATCTTGAAATTCGAGACAAGAGCCCATTCCCATTGTAGAGACATTCCCGGATGAACAACTTCTGTCCATTGAGGTAAGAACCCCTTGGTATGCCGATTTGGTCAATTTCTTGGTGTCTAAGCAAGTTCCTAGTACCCTAAACAAATTCCAACGTGATAAACTTGTTCATGATGCACGTTTTTATGTTTGGGATGATCCATATTTATGGAAATTCTGCCCAGATCAGATTGTGCGTAGATGTGTGCCTGAATCTGATTTTAATTCCATTTTTACATTCTGCCATACTTATGCATGTGGGGGACATTTTGGCACCCAAAGGACAGCCCTAAAGGTGTTACAATCTGGATTTTATTGGCCTAATCTCTTTAAAGATGCTAAAATGTTTTGTTTAACATGTGATAAGTGTCAAAGAACGGGTAACATAGGGCCTAAGGACCAAATGCCGCAGCAATCTCTCTCATTTGTGGAAATTTTTGATGTTTGGGGTATCGATTTCATGGGCCCCTTTCCTCCCTCTTTTGGTTTCACTTACATCTTGCTAGCTGTCGATTATGTTTCCAAATGGGTGGAGGCCAAAGCCACCCGTACTAACGATTCTAAGGTTGTTGCAGATTTTGTGAAATCTAATATTTTTGCTAGGTTTGGGATGCCACGAGTCTTAATCAGTGATGGGGGTTCTCACTTTTGCAATCGTACCATTGAAGCTTTGCTCAAGAAGTACAACGTTACGCATAAGGTTTCAACACCTTATCACCCTCAAACCAATGGGCAAGCGGAGGTTTCAAATAGGGAGATCAAACAAGTCCTAGAGAAAACCGTGGGACCTTCAAGAAGAGATTGGAGTTTGTGCTTAGACGATGCATTGTGGGCCTATCGTACGGCTTACAAAACTCCCCTTGGCATGTCACATTTTCGGCTTATATATGGTAAGCCATGTCATTTGCCCGTTGAGCCAGAGCACAAGGCGCATTGGGCTGTGAAAACCTTCAATATGGACATAGACGCTGCTGGAGTTCATAGGAAGCTCCAATTAGATGAACTTGAGGAGATTAGGAACGAGGCTTACGAGAATGCTCGAATCTACAAGGACAAGACAAAGGCTTATCATGATAAGATGCTTCGTACTGATAGGAGCATATTCATGCGACTTAAATGGCTTGTTCTCGTGCATTTACGTTATGTTTCTTTAGTTATTTTAGTACTTTAAGCTATTTTCGTGTGTTTGTAGGTCCAAAGGGCTAAAGGAGCAAAAAGATGCATTTTGGAGACTTTTGGAGCACTTTTGGGCTAAGGATGGATAGCCTATGCTTGGAGCCAAAGTGTTGGACGAAATTGAAGACCAAAGTGTTGGAACCTTGTTCCCTTTAGTTTTAGGACATTTAAACCTTTCCTATATCCTTAGCCGTGCATAACATTCCAACATTCCACTCCTTCATTTCAGCCACACTCCCACATATCATTACTTATCATCACCACTTATCACTTATCATAATCACATATCATTACTTATCATCACCACTTATCACTTATCATAAATCATTACTTATCATCACCACTTATCACTTATCATAATCACATATCATACACTTATCATCACCACTTATCACTTATCATAATCACCCATAATCATTCACATAAATCAGCCACATGCATTCACTCTTCATAATTCAACCTAGCTGTCATGTTTCCCCTTTCATCATTCCCTCACATTCTTTAATTCAGCCAACACATGCTTACACATGCATTTTCAGCACCAAAAAATCATTGCACATGCATTTCCAACCCACATGCATCATTTAATCATTCAAACATGCAGCCACATTCACTTTACCTAGCTGTCATGTTCCCTCTCCCATCCATTTTCAGATTTCCACCAACCAATCTAGTTGTCATTACACATGCATTCCCTTCTTTAATCATTCCTAGTTGCCATTCACATGTTCTCCCATCCCTTCTCTCCCTATAAAACCATGCATTGCATTCATTCAATTCATCTCATTCTTCCATTTCAGAAATTCATTCATTCAAACACACATCCACACCATCAAACTATCCTTAGACCTTGTGCTACAACAAAGAGGAGGAGAAGAGTGCCTAAACGTTCATACAATTCAAGTTTGAGTTGTTGGAATGTTTAGGTGTTTCTTTTCCTCGATTACAATGTTTAATTTCAATTCTCTTTGTTTTGTACGTATGAGGAACTAAACCCCCCTTTGGCTAGGGTGGGATTCGAAATATATGTTTATGCTTGCGTTTTGATTTGATTACTTCTAATTGCATTTCATAAGTCGTGGATTCAATTTGTTTAACTGTTTGATTGATAACTTATTTATGTATGTTTATTGAGAGTGCACGCTTAATTTTCATGCATGAATATGACGCTAGAATATAAGTGAGTTTCACCTAATAGTTACGAACTTATATTCACAAGTAGTGGAGGTTGCTTATAAACAATCGCGTTAAACGAATTCTTGGCATAAGTTTCATGCAATCATAGTAACGAATGCCTCGTCAACACTTACAATTTTCATAGAGCGTAATGATTCTTGCTTGTATCTCTATTATGCAATCATGTAGGGGACTTGTGGGAAATGTTTTGGGTTGTCGTATGCAATTATCCAATTCAATAACGTTAGGAAGATTTGAAGGTTAATTTAAGCGGACCTAATTAACCCGGGGTGATGAGTTTCATAATTTATTGAAATGCAATTGGAAATCTTTTTATTATGCAAGTGTAACATGTGTGGAGATGAACCCGTTGGCTAGCATCCATTCATTCCATTTCATCAATTTCATATTTACATTCTGTCTAGTTTATTAACTTGTTTCGTTATTTCAATTTTGCTCCAAAACAAATCCCCCTTTAATTTGAAGTCTTAGATTAGTTAGAAAGTGTTTTGATTTGTGTTTCTAAGTATTTTGATTCAAGTTTTCATCCAATTTCGTCCAAATTAGTGTAGGTGCTCAAAACTGCCCAGAAAGTGGTTTTTAGGCAGTTTTGAGTCTTCTAGTTGCTGTTTTGGGTTTTAGGTTTGTTTAAGTGTTTTAACTTTTAGTTTTGCATTCTTTGAGTCTAGTTTAGTGTTAAAGTGTCTTAATTTGTGTTTTAAAGTGTTTTGAATCAACCTTTAATCTTAAATTCGTCCAAATTTGTGTTTAAGGTCAGAAACTGCCTAGTTAGTGTTTTTAGGCAGTTTTGAGTCTTTTGAACCTGTTTTGAGTCCTTTGAGTCTTTGTGAACGTTTTTAACTTTGTTTTTTATGTTTTTGAGTCAATTTAGAGGTTTTAGCAAGCCCTCCTAATCCCCGGTCTAGAACGATCCCTACTTGCATCCTTACTACAATTTGACAACAAGAGGGTTAATTTGTGTGCGTATAAATCTCGCATCAAATTTTGGCGCCGTTGCCGGGGATTAGCAACTTTGCTAATCTCTTGGATTGTTTTATTATCATTTGTGTGTACATATTTTTAGTTTTATTTTGTTGATTTTAGAAGCAAGACATGGCACTTGCTAGTGCTTCTTTTTTGTCACAGCTTATGGAAGAGTACCAAACGCAAAGAGTTGGTACATTTGATCATAATCAATCAAGAAACGACGTGTTTTCCAATACTTACAATTTGGATTGGAGTGATCATTCAAACTCTATGTGGTGGGAACCTCAACATATTCAACAAGAAGGATATTGGCAATCATATGAGGAGTTCTATACAACACCTATGCAGCCACCACAACCTGCCCAAACAAATTCAAGTGAGTCTTTGTATAATGATACGGTTAGTAAGTTACTCACCAATTTGTCTCAAGGGCAAGAAGATCTAAACAAAGCAAGGCAAAATCAAGACAAAAGGTTGGACTACTTGGAAAAGCAAATTGGGCAGATCGCGGAGTTCGTAGGACAATTTCAAGACCAAGGCAAACTCCTTATTTCAACCCTTGCAAATCCGAAGGAAGGATTTGAAACTGCCTTGAGAAGTAGCAAGGAGGTTGGAACGGACCCTCAACCATTAAAATCAAATCACAAGGAAGAGGAATACACCCAACCCACGGCAAGAGTGGAAACACCTTTGCCGAAGGCACCTATTGCTCCTACGCCATCTAATTCAAGTAAGGTTGTTCCAAATTTAATTAGTTCTAACCCCATTCCACCTAATATCCCTATTCTTCATGAATTCCAAGGAAGAAGAAAGTGAAAAAGACACCTTGGAAGCCCTTCCAAAGGTGAAAAGTAGGGAATATGACAGCTAGGAACTTGGTGGAAATCTGGAATGGTGATGGGAGATGCATGTGGCTGATTTATGCATGTGATTAAAGGGTAATGACAGCTAGGTTATGATGATGAATGCATGTGCAAAGTTGGTTGAATGATTATGGGTGCATGTGGCTGATTTATGGTGCAATGATGAAAGGCAAAGTGCATGTGGCTGATTTGTGAAGGGAATGCATGTGGAATGAATGTGTGAATGATGGCAGATTGTGTATGTGAATGATTAGGGTGAATGTGCATGTGCTTTGACAGCTAGGTTGAATAAATTAAAGGGAGTGCATGTGGCTTGGCTGGAATGATTGGAATGCAATCTGAAATGGGATGTGTTGGTGTGAATTTCTGGTACAAAGGGCCTCCTTTGGTCTTCAATTTCGTCCATCTACTTCGCTTCAAGTATATGCAATCCATTTAACGCCCCAAACTACTCCAAAATGCACCATTTTGCATACTTTGCCCTTAGAACCTGAAAACACACAAAAGAAGCATAAAGGACTAAAATAACTAAAGAAACATAACGTAAATGCACGAGAACAAGCCATTTAAGTCGCATGAATATGCTCCTATCAAATACCCCCACACTTATCTTTTGCTAGTCCTCGAGCAAAACAGAAAGAAAAACAAAACAAAACGAAACGAAACAAAACAAGTAAAACACAACCTAAACCTTCCAACGATCGTCTTAGGGATTTCCAATGCACATGACATGTTAAAAATCATCATTCCCACAGATTTTAGTCATCTTCACACTTAATTACATTCTTAATCACAGTCACCACATACTATTTCACAATTAAGCATTTAAAACCATGTTTTGAATGTAGTAACATGCCTTAGAGAATTTGCTCAATTCCTCACAAGATATGCACTCAATTTTTACTCAGATTTTCTGACTACACACCCTACACTAAGTATATGTGAGAAGATTGATGTAAACATGAAACCGAACACTCACATATATGTATCACAAAGAACGCAATTTCTGGAGTTAATAAGCATGTTTAGATATGATCTCATGAATGGCATGCTACTACTTAGATGATGCGAACTAAGTAAGCACACAAATTAAAACCCTCTTGTGACAATTGTAGTATATAAATAAGTAGGGATCGTTCTTAACCGGGGATTAGGAGGGATTGCAAAATCACTTGGAAACTGACTCAAAAACGTAAAATAAAGTTTGAAACACTAAACTAGACTCAAAAAATGCAAAACTAACAATAAAAACACTCAAACAAATCACAAGACTCAAAACAGCCCCAAAACACTCAAAACTGCCTTAAAATCACTTTCTGGGCAGTTTTGAGCACTTTGGTAATTTTGGACGAAATTGGGTAATAGAATGAATCAAAATGCTTAAAAACACAAACTAAGATACTTTCTAACTAAATTGGACACAAAAGTAAGGGGGGATTGAATTTTTGACGAAAATAACTAAAATGCACAGATTGTAAATTAAGGCAGATTCTAAAGATGAATGTAATGAAAATATGGATGAATGCTAGCTAGAAGGTTCTTCTCCACACATGTCACACTTGCATACACTTTGATTTTCAGTTGGTCTTTCGATAAATTATGAAACTCAACACTCCGGGTTAATTAGGTCCGCTTAAATTAACCGTCAAGTTCTCCTTAAGTTAATGAATTGGATGGGTTAGCGCAACGCAATTCAAAACATTCTCCAAAAGTCCTTTACGTGAAAAGCACAATAAAGATACAATCAAAGATCATTAAACATCATGAAAACTATAAGTGTTGACGAGGCATTCGTTACTATGATGAGCATGAAACTAGTGCCAAGAATTCATTTAACGCGATTGTTTATAAGCAACCTCCACTACTTGTGAATATAAATTGATAACTATTAGGTGAAACTCACTTATATTCTAGCGTCAAATTCATGCATGAACATTAAGCGTGCACTCTCAATAAACATACACAAACAAGTTATCAATCACACAGTTAAACGAATTGAATCAATCATTCATGAAATTCCAACCAAAAGTAATCAATTCATATTGCAAGCATAAACATGGTTTCGAATCACCCCCTAGCTAACTAGGGGGATTTAGCCTCTCATGGTCACAAAAAGAGAATTACAATTGAATTTAAACATAAAGCACAAAGGAATGATTACACCTAGAACGCCCAACGAATCCACGTGAATTGGTGCGCGTCGAAGCTCCTCTTTCCTCTTCTCCTTTTGCGGCAGATTGGTTTTAGGATGATTTTGGGTGAATTTCTGGGTTATAGATAGGTTTAGGGCTGTTTGGTGGTGCGGCAAGGTGGTGGAGTGGTGTAGGGTGGTTTGTAAGGTGGTGGAATGGTAGAGATGGTGGCTGGAATGGAAGGGGAAGATGGAGAGGTGGCTGCGGCAATGGGAGAAATTGGGAGAGAATGGAGGGAATGGTGGCTGGTTGTTGTTAGGGTGAAAAGTGTAGAATGAATGAGAGGGGGGTGCGGCTAGAGAGGAAAATGTGTGAAAATGGCTGAATTAGAATCTAGGGTTAGTGGAATGCACGGATTGAAGGAATGGGGAGTGAAATTGTGTGACGGCTTGGGGAGAAATTTTGGGTTTTTGGTGGCTGATTAGTGTGAATGAGAGTTCTCTAGGGTTAACTAAAGGGTACGGCTGAGATGGGATGATGAATGAATCAATGGGGAAAGGAAAGTGACGGCTACAAAGTTGTAATTTAGGGTTTATGAGTGAATGGTTGAGATGATTTTGAATGAATGAATCAGATGCTAAGAGTGAATTAAAGGGTGCGGCTAGGTTGAAATAAAAGGGCTAAAATCTGAATGATCTAGGGTGAAAAGAGAATAGGTGCGGCTGCAAGGTAATTAGGGTGATTAGGGTTTAGGGTTTAATGCATGAAATGGGACAAAACTACCCCCCCTTGCACGGCAAGGGAAGGGAAATGGGCTAGAGGCACGGCATAGGAAGGGAATTAGGGCTAGGGCCTTGGTTTTGTGTCCTAAAGTACCTACAAGGTCTTCAAAGTGGCTAGAAAATACGAACGTTTAAGTTTAGGAAAGGTTACCAAAACGGGAAACTTAGGGTTAACTTTCCTAAAATAGGAAACCTTGTTTGAGTAGGATTCCTCGTTTTGGTAAGAATTCATCGTTGGAGTAGGATTTCGTCGTTTCTTCAAGTCTTCAACTCATTCGTTCCTCTTTCGCTCCAAAAGACTCCAATTTGCATCTTCTTGCACACTTTGGCCTTATAATCTGAAAATACACAAGAGTGGCCTTAAACACTAAAACAACTAAGTAAACACAACATAAATGCATGAGAACAAGCTAATTAAGTCGCATGAATATGCTCCTATCAAATTCCCCCACACTTAACTTTTGCTAGTCCTCGAGCAAAACAAAACAACTAAAATAAACAAAACGAAACAAAACAAACAAAACATAACCTAAACCTTCCAACGTTTGCCTCAGGGATTTCCAATGAAACATGACATGTCAAAAATCATTACGCACATAACTTTTAGTCTTACTTCCCCTTAAGCACATACTTAATCATAGTCACCATTCACTAGTTCGCATTTAATCAATTAAAACACATTTTGAATGTAGTAACATGCCTTAGAGAATTCCCTCAATTCCTCACTAGTTATGCACTCAATTTTCACTCAGATTTTCTGACTACACACCCTACACTAGTTATATGTGAGCAGATTGATATAACATGAAAGACTAGGACTCACATATGTTATAACAAAGAAAGCAATTTCTAGAGTAATTAAACGTGTTTGGATATGATCTCGTGAATGGAATGCTACTACTTAGATGCGAGAACCAGTGACACCATATGCTCATACCAAATTCAAACTCCACAATTGAAATGCACAACACTCAAGATAGAAGTCAAGGGTTGTAACGGGGCTTGGGGTATTGGCTCACAAGGAAAGGTAGGGATAAACAAAAGTTCTTTAAGCAATAGTAAGTAAAGTAATGAAATTAAGACCTAGAATTCCCTTAGAATGCAGAAATCAACTTTTAAACAAATAGGGGAGATTCAAACAACTCTTAGGGCCTAATTCATTGTTTTGGGCCCTTACTCAACACCCAATACTTTTCAACTTTTTTTTTTTTTTTTTTTTTTTTTTTTTTTTTTCATTTTTCTCTTTTCTTTTCTTTCTTTTTTTTTTTTTTTTTTTTTTTTCTAACCATGCCTATGGCACATAAACTCACATCAATAATCCTTCCCCCACACTTATTTTCTGCAACACATTAATCAAAGGGAA